CCTCTGAGCCTTGCGATCAACCCTCAAGGACAGGCTAGAATAAGCACATTGATCTTAAAGATAGTAGGAGTGAGTTGAATTTCCTAAGCCCTTGCTAGGTGCCAGGCCTTGTGCACCAAAGCCACCATTTTAACCCTTTGACAACCAAATGAATGAATCTACATTATTCCAGTTTTAAGGATGAAGAAAAAGAGGCTCAGAGAGGTTCAAAATATATCCAGGTATGGCAGATTGCATTTTCTCAAAAATGGCCACAACAGTGTTTTTGTCCTACCTGGTTTTCCAAACACTATTCATTTTCTTTAGTCATAGGGTCCGTGTCTTCTCCCTTGAAGGTATACAGGCCTTTGTGACTGACTGACTTGCATGAGCTTGGAAGTCTTGGCTTAAAAAAGCAGAACAGAATCTGTGTCTTTGCTGTGGATTCCAGCCCACCAAACCCAATCTCCATGTTTTGAGGAAGCTCACATTTGATGAAGTGGCCACATGTCAGTATTCTGGTTAATAGTGAGTGTCAACTTAGGTCCCAGTAATGGCTGATCACTCACTAGACACAGGATAAGAGAAACCTTTAGAGGATCCTGGACCGTAGCTCTTGACTTACCCCATCCTTCCAGTCTTCCACCTGAGGCCTCAGACCAGGTTGAACAGAGAAAAATTGGCCTATTACACCCATCTAAATTCCTGACTATGCAATTCATTAGTGTGATATAAGAATTATCTTATATCTCTCTTCCATTTGCCCAAGATGCTGAAACAAAGAAAGCAAAGAAGGTGGTGGCCTGACTCCTGCTGTCAGAAGAAGCAGGAGTCCAAGAAGGCAGTATCTCCCTTGTTTGAGAAAATGCCTAAGAAGTTTGGCTTTGGAGAAGGGATCTAACCTGCTTTGTCAAATGGCTCTGCTACATCTGGCTGCAGTGACAAAGGGCCATCATCTAAAGGGGCTGACAGAGCCTCCTGCAATTAACCAGTCCATCCACCCCTGAACAGACAAATAGCTACTCAATTACATAGGCTGGCCCACAAATCCAGACCAGGAAAAAATAAGAACAGAAGTAGAGACTGTAGGCTTGAGCAGGGGAGAAGGCTGCCGAAGGGGATTTTGCCACGAAGAGACAACCTGTCCTTCATGCAGGAGTTAAAAGTTACCACTTTGGTGGAGAGCAAGAAGGCTCAGCTGGTGGTGCTTGTACCTGGCATAGAAACCACTGGGCCGGTTGTCTGCCTGCCTGCCCTGGGGGATCCCCACTGCATTATCAAGGGGAAGCCAGGCTAGTCCACAGGAAGACATGCAACACCACTGCCTTTACACAGGTCAACTCAGAAAATGAAAGGATCTGGCTAAGCTGGTGGAAGCTCTTAGGACCAGTCACAATGACAGCTGCGGTGAGATCCACTTCCTCGGGGAGGCAACATCCCAGGTCCAAAGACTGTGGCTTGCTTTGCCAAGATGGAAAAGGCAAAGCTAAAGAACCCATCACTGCTGAGTTAAATGTATACTGCTGAGTTTTCTGTACATAAAAATGAAAAAAAATTGTCCTTCAAAAATGTTTTTAGGGCTGAGGATTTGGTTCCACCGCCTGCCTCATAAGGTCCAGAGTTCTATCCCTGGTACCAAAAAAAAAAAAAAAAAAAAAGTTTTTTTGATGAGGCCCTTCCAGAATCCATGTTTGATTCTCACTCTGTCTACCTCCAGAGTCTCTGGGCTCCACCATCCACAATCTGTGAAGCTCACTGTGCTGGTTTCCTGGGGTTGCTGTGACAACACACTACATTATGGCTATGCTAATTAACCCAATTTGATCACGCTGTAACAGGTACATGTATTGAAGTAGCATACTCTACCCTATAGATATGTACAATTATGTGTCAATTAGAAAGAAAATAAAAGTTAAAAAAAAAGTCAAAGAACCACAGACCATGTGGCTTAAACCAAAGAAATTTATTTTCTCACAATTCTGGAGGCTGACGTTTGAGAACAAGTTGTTCGCAGGGATGGTTACTTCAGTGGCCTCTCTCCTTGGCTTGAATGGCTGACTTCTCTGTGTGTCTTCCCTCCATATTGGTCTGTGACCTATTCTCCTTGTCTCATGGGCACAATCTTCATGTTGGATTACAGCCCACCCACATGACTTCATGTTACCTCAGCACCTCTTTAAAGGCCCTGTCTCCCAATTCACTCACGTTCTGAAGGAGCAGGGGTTCAACATATAAGCTTTGTGAGGGAACAGCTAAGCCACCAGGACCATCAGCAGCCATTCTGGAGGTCTGTAGGGATGGACTTGGCTCCTACCCCACTTCTCTAGTCTGAAGCCTTCACCCTTTCCTTTACAGGGCAGTGATTTTAGGCTCTGGCTGCATATTAGAGTCTCTTGGTGAGTCAAAAACAATAGTTATAGACTGGCTCTACCCCAGACCAATTAAACCACGATCTCTGGGGAAGGGCCTGGGCATCAGCATGTTTGAAAAGTCCCTTGATTCTATTATGGAGCCAAGGTTGAGGCCAACTGCTCTAGGTAGTTGTCTGAGCAATGAGCCAGAGAAGTGACGGACACCTGTGGGAGCAAATTGAAAAGAAATCAGACGTGGGAGACTCTCAACACAGTTCACAGTGGCTTAGGATACAAAGAGACGGAATGTTAAGGGCAACAAACAAGGAGGTGGGGAGATGTCCACCCCATTAATTAAAACGTGAAATTTCATTACATGAAATTAGAAAAGAAAAAATAAAATAAGGAGAAGCAGAAGAGCACAAGTTATTCACTGGAACTGAAGAAGCAGAGGAATAATTAATTAGAGTTTGATAAAAACCTCTTAGTAACCCTAGTTCTTAAGTTTTACTTTGGAAAATTTCAACTGAGCAGAGTTTATTGACTTGATTTTATAAAATGCCTTACTGTTCGGCCCGGAGCTGCTCCATCCCCACCCTGTCAGGAACCTTGGGCTCACGACCCCCAAGTGGGCAGCAGCACTGTCTGTAGGGAGCCATGTCCCTGGCCACAGACACTCGGCACAGGCCTTTTCCGGCCAGAGTTTCCTTCTGCCTCCCTTGCCTGCCCTCCGGCTTTTTCTGGGGCTTACTGTTCCTTGTGAATTGTCATGGTGGGTGCTGCTATTCCTGAATTCATTTATATTGGTATTACTACAGTAAATTCTTTATGAAATAAAAATCAATAGTCACCGACATCCTGAGTAGTGAGGAAAATAATTGTTTATGGCACTCAGCTTAAGCTGTTCTGGTAATCACGTTGAAAAATACAATATTTATTCATTAGATCAAATTTAATGAGGCCTCCTGGCAGTAATTATAAAAATTACTGTAGCAGTAAATTACTAATGAGTTGTGATGTGCTTCCTACCTGTGAAGAAGGACTGGGGGTTGAAAAAGCCTGCTACCCAGATGAGGAGGCGAGGGAGGGAAGCCCTGGGGCCCCACGCAGCTCTCTCGCCCAGGCAGAGAGGATCAGTGTACCCAGACCACAAAAGCAAACAAGAAAAAGGACCAAGGATACACAACCAGGGGGCATTCTTGCAGCCGTGGGAACAGGATCAAGATTAGAGCATTCTATTCCCCAAAGGTGAGCGTCCTCTCAGCGACTCGGTGCTGTCGCGTGCTGGGGTCACGAAGGGGCACTCATCTGCTGCCTGGGAAGGACAGAGCTTCTTATTAAGGCTGGGAAATGATCCCAGACACAGGCCACCCTGCAAGTGTGGTCTGCCCAAGGTGCAGGTTGCGCTTGGCTCTTTCAAAGCCAGCCTCGGGGCACCGTGCCTGCTTCCAGGCGAGCATAGTGGATGATTTTTACAAGCTCCTGGATATCCTTTCTCTTCAGAAGGATCAGAATTTTTTTGCTCTCATATTTATAGCATGAGTCTAAGTTTTTTTCTTAAAAAAGAATGCAAGTCATTAATTTTGATTGACAGCCTAGGTGTGAAAATGCCAGAAAATATGCTGATTGGAGGCAAGTGTGGTTAAAAAAATTTTTATTAACAGAGTTGAATGGAAACGTTAAGTCTTGGGGAGGCACGGCTGGACACAGCTCTGTTGTGTGGTTTTCTGGGTTAAGACAGCCTTACCATGTAACTGGGCTGCGTTGTTTCACCCCTACCCGCGGGCTCTGTTCACCAGACATAGAGCTCTGGCCCACGATGAGGGACCAGCCAGGCCAGGTGAGGGCCCGCACCCCATCTGCAGCTGGACTCTGGTACCCAGCAGAAGCACCTTCTGTAGCCCCAGCCTGACTCCCCTCAAAGCAATGACTGAATAGCCGTAGACTGTCATCTGGAGTGACAGTTATCTATTCAGGTAGTAGCTGCTATTGTCTTCTCACTTGTAACACCAAGAGGGTTTTTGTTTAACTTTAAGAATTCTGACAGCATCTCAGAATGTCGTACTCCGAATGGGTCCAACCCCTCCTCACGCGGGGAGGGCATGATGACATTAGAGTGTACATTTTTTTCCTTTAAATTGCAGATGCCTTAAAATGAGATTGTCAGGTTTGTTGGCTTGTCAGCTGAAAGTATCAAGATTGTCACAGAGTATTATATCACTATAATATGATCACTGTACATGAAACTAATGAGTAATATTGTACTTAGTGGTGGGACCGAGTCACGGTGACATTAAAAGCGGTGAACATCCTTGTGTTTCACCCAGGAGAATCTGGGGAAGACGGCTGCCCTGTGGGACAGAAGGCTGGAATTGTGTCAAGAAGGAAAGGTGGAGAAGTGCTCTTTGGGGAAGGAGGTCAGGAGGCAGCCAGCTGAGTGCAGAAGGGAGGCTGGGCCTCCTCAGGGAGGCTGATTGAAGGGTTTGCACCCTGGCAGGCACCTGAAAACTGACTTTTGAAGGAAAGGATAAATGTGAGCTTTCTTTACGATTAGAATCCCAGGCTGCTAGACTAGAAGTGGTTTATCTGAAGAGGACTCAGATGAAGCTGCGCATTACTTCAGTGTCTGTCTCGCTCGAATCCTCCCTCCCTGGCTGCTCTCTCATTCAGTCCTCAGGTGTCCGAGGAGCCCAGTGGTTTGTGTGATGGGCACAGCCCCGCCTCTGTGAGGCTCACAGCGTGGCAGCGCAGACACGGAACAAAGACTCCTACAGAACAACGCACCATGCCCGCGGGGAAGAAAGGGGACGGTGGCCTTGCCTGGTTTGAGAAAGTGATGCTGAAGAGAGCACACAGGTGAGGAGCAACGAGAAGGGGAAAGCACATTCGAGGAGCAGAGCTGCTTGGAACGAAGGGAGGCCAGAGGGACTGGAGCAGTGGCCCACAGTCATGGGAGGAACGTGGCCTCCGGGTTCGGGGGCTCTGCCTGTGCCTTTGGACCCATTTCTTGGTGAGGTCTAAGGGACTAAATGATAGCATCAGTCCGGCGCTCGGCACAGGGCCCAGCTCATGGTAGAAATTCCATATATGGGAACCATCACGGTCATCGCGGAGGGGCAGGCAGGCAAATTTAGTGCTAGGTGGCAGTGCAGAACACCCGTATCCTGGTTCTGTGGTAGATGGGCTTGGGGACACGGGACAGACGGAGAATCAGGCATGCGCAGGCTGGCACTGGCGCTGTACCTGAGTCACCACACAGAAGAGGACAGAGAGCAAGTCCCGACATGGATTCAGGGTGACAGCCTCCTTGGCATGCACGTGTTTACTTTGGTGGCATGGAGCGATAGGTCCCATACTGTCTACTTGGGAACTGTCCCCTGGATTTGTTCAGAACACAGACTATACAGCCATATGAGGGGACCCCAAATCCAATACAACATGCTTTTTTCCATAAGAGGCAAAAAAAAAAAAAAAAAAAAAAAAGCGGTCAGTACCAAGAATGCATTTTTGCCAAGGCAGATTGCTTTTATGCCTTCTATTCCAAAAAGTCTGTAAAATGGGCAGCATTTATGTTTTCTAAAAGATGCACGTCCATTCCTCTCATAATGTCGTTGCAAACTGCACTCATATTTGAAGAAGGAAAATGTCCCCCACGAACTGTAAGAGAAGTTAGACTCTGTTTAGTGTCTGGAGAGTTGGCTTTCCATACCCAAGGCTCTTTTTCTGTAAACTCAAGAGCAGCACGAGGAGACAGAGTGCACGAGAGTTCTCTTCTGTCCCCAACCTCAGCAGCATGTTCAAGGATGGGCCAATCATTTTGGGAGGTGAGTTGTGAACATCTTGATTAAGATTGACCTGGGGAGGCTGGTGGTGTAGCTCACTGGTAGAGCACTTGCATACCATGTGCCAGGCCCAAGTAACGCACACACACACACACACACACACACACACTCTCTCTCTCTCTCTCTCTCTCTCTCTCTCTCTCGCTTTCTCTCTCCCTCTCTCGCTCTCTCTCTCAAAGGAAAGAAAGACAAAAAAAGAATTAATTTTTTGAGTCTTGGGTTCCAGGAGAATGATTTGGTGAAGACAAACATTTTTTCCGCTTGTCTTCGTCATCTATGTCTTCCCTAGTTATTCCCCATAGGGGCCATTGTCACTGGGCATACAGTGAGCATCATTAGCATTCCTGGGAGGAAAAGTGCAGCTTTTCCAACCTGTACTTCCAGAAGATCACCAGCCCTTATTTTCTGAGCGTGGTTGTCTAGATGGAAAGCGTTCACTGACGGGGTGGGGGAGCTCTGCAGCCAAAATGGCTGAACAAATGGAAGTCCGGCATCTAAACTGGCTCATCACTTCAAAATGCGTAAGCCGGGAGTGCTGGGGAGGCTAGAACAGGGAAGAAGAGGAAGAGGGCAGACATAAGCTGGAGACTCACCAGTCCTGCCAGGTCGGGCTTTGTCTGGCCCGCACTGCCTCTGGTACGCGAGGGCACATGCACGTTCTCACGCAGCTGTGCTCTCCCTTGCCTGCAAGCCTGCTGCCCCCGAACTCTTTTGAGAGTGCCAGCTCGGAGTGGGCCTTAAAGAGCCATCTGCAGAGGCTGCTCCGTGCACATGGTCAGCGCTTTGTGGAAGCTGCTTACTGGGGGTGCTTTAGAACTCGGCTTCTTTATCTGGCAGACCACATACTTCTGTTGGTTTTTTCCCCCTAAATTGAACCACTCCTGTCCCTAATTGTGTCACTCCTGCTGTCCCCTCTAGCCATCAGAGCCTGTGGCATGGTTCTGATTGTGTTACAGTGCGTCCTTGAAGCATTCTTTTTGTTTGTGTTCAATGGCTCTCCTTCAGCTCACAACACAGTGGTGGCACTGGTTTCCTAGGGTCACCCATTCTCCTCTGAGGACCAGCCCAGAAAAGCTCCGTCGTAATGAACAGGGCTTCAGACGGATGGACACACACACCGGCTTGAGAGCCCTCCTGGCTTCGGCCACTCTAACAAGATTTTGTCATTTGTGGCTTTTGCGCGTTGGAAAAACTTTCATCTCCGACTTTCTATGGGCTATAAATACTTGGTAGGTTAAAAAGGAATCATTCAGAACATGAAATAAACAGAGCCTGGCATGCACACAGCAACATGCCTCAACGGAGACCTTCAACTTCTAGGCCAGAGCGGCAGGAATCTGAGACAGGGCTCCCTTCATCCCCGCTCCCATCCACTTCCCTCCAGGGCTGGACACTGCTCTGGCTGATGACCTCTTTGGGCCGGATGTTTTCCTAATGAGGCAGGAGGATTAGGTCTCCATGTTACTCACGCCTTTTAACCACCGGAGGAGGACTGTTGATCTCCCTGGGGTCGGGGGGCACTTTTAGAATGCGCGGAAAACATGATATGGATATTAAATATCTACCACAGATTAAGAGTCCAGCAGAGGGAGGTTATATCTCGGTTCTGAAAATTGGTTATGATCGGGTTATTTCCCAAACTCCTTTAGTAGTACCCAGTTGTGATGTGTAATGAACAGACACCCTGTGGGGGACAGGGACACATTCGCATTGCATCTGGACCCTTTTACCTCTCATCTCCTCTCCTCCCTCCCATCTCCCCAGCCCGAGGGCTCCTTCCCATCTCCACAATATCTGTCTTCATCGTGGTCTTCATGGCTTGACGTTTTTCTGAGTAATTCCTTTATTATATTGTCAGGTTCTGAGAGAAACACATGTGTGATTGTTGTAAAACTTTTAAGTGAGAGAGAAAGACTGAGAATAAAAATCAGCCATATCTTCCAAAGAGCATTCTTATAATTTTGGTCATATACACATATATTTGAATATATATATATATAATATAGACATATAATATAAATATGTATCTATTTAAAGTTCAGTTGTAATGCACGTACAGAAAGGAGCACAAATCACAAATGGATATTTCAACATTTAAAAAAGCTTTAGAGATCATGCTGACTCTTGTCATTAGCACCTAGGTCGAAATGTCTTTTGTACCTAGCGAGGTGGATCAAGTCTCTTGGTAGCAACTCTCTCTCAGCAAACCTTCCACCACAGGTGACCATGTTCTGATCTCTTGCTTATCATTTTATACTCTAATACATATAATGCCTCACATCCGACATATATCATGTTTGTGTTCCGTTCCCTCTATAGCTTTATTACTTTATTTATTTATATTTTTGCTACCAGGGATTGAACTCAGGTCCTTGCACTTGCAGGCAGGTGGCAGAACCACTGAGCTAAATCCCTAGCCCCCCCTCTACAGCTTTAAACTTTGTTACATGTATATCACATATTTTCACAAAAGTAGGCCAGATTCTTCATGTAGTACTACAAATCTGATTTTTTTACTTTATATAATATTATACTAGACGCATACATGTTATTTAATGATATTTATGTAACTTGCTCTCTAATGTCAATTAAAGTTCATTTATGTTAAATATAAATTTTATATAATTATCTTTTTATATAATACTTTTCTGCCAGTAAGTATAAAACTAAACTCAATTTTTTTTTGGTACTGGGGATTGAACTCGGGATCCTGGGCTTGCAAGACAGGCGACAGTACCACTGAGCTAAATCCCTGGCCAAACCTCACTTTTTTGGATGGTGCTGGGAATCAAACCCACAACCTTGTACATGCTAGGCAAGTATTCTCCCATTGACCCACAGCCCAGCTCCCAAACTACCACTTTCTGGGGCTGCATCTCATGTGAGGTGTAGCATAACTTGTAAGCTACATTACTGATAAACATTTATCTTTCCCTTATGATTATATTTAAGTGCTCTTAGGGTAACATCCCTGAGCAAACTTATTCCAAAAGGTTTTATAATCTTATTTTGTGTTATAAATGAATTATGAGTATTCTTGTTTTTTAAAGTTTTGGAAACGGGGGTCTGGCTATGTTGCCCAGGCTGGCTTTGAACTCCTGGGCTCTAGGGACCCTCCCGCCTCCACCTCCTAAGTATCACACACCACTGTGCCTGATAGTTATGAGTAACACATATGTAATCTTTCGTGGTTCCCATGTTTCATTCAAGAACTCATAAAGAAAACGACAAAGGAGTTTTAGCCCTCTTCTTCCTCCTCTTCATCCTCCGATTAATCGGGAAGTAATGTAATTGGCAACTCTTTCTGCTCTTAGTGGCTACGTGCAAGGAATCACATAGACTGTTCTTCTTCAAGCGTTTTTTGGTGAGATATTTCAAGTACCCTTTGGGAAGAGGCAGCTCGGAAGTCACGGCTTCCCATCTTCACTCGCTCCTTTTTGCTAGTGACTGTCCCCACTGCGGTTCCCGGCTTTGCCATTTGCTTTGATTCTCTCCTGGAGAAACGGCTCCGAATGGGCAGCATCCACAATTCCATCTTCTACAGGATGCATGCAGCCAGGGGGAACTTCAGGAGCTGCTTCCTTTTCTTCCCCAGACCCCCCACCCTGCAGGTTTTTTCATGGGGCACCTTGGTGGAATCAGAAAGGAAGGTGGACGCACTACGAAGATGAAAAGAGATGCAGTGTGCAGGGTATTCTTAATATATTATATTGTCCACTTCTTTTATCCTGTGTTCTTTGTGTAGCATGCACTCATGTGATAATGTGTGTGTGTGTGCATGCGTGCATGTGTGTGTGTGTAGATGGCCATACCTTCTAGGCTGCTGTTATTCCAGTGGTCCCAATACAGCCCAATCTTGGACCAAGAGACATAAGCTATGTTTTGGTTCACACATGGGGTGATTTAATTTTAAAAGTCATTTAAAAATTCTCACTAGATTTCATTTCAGTTGTTGGAAAATTTTTTCACAGATGGCTCAATGTCTTTAATTTACAGGGCTGAAAACCAAAATAC